TACTTCTAATTAAGACTAGAATTCGCCTCTCGTCGCTCCTTGCCACCCATCCTTTGCCCTTAGAGTACTCAACCGGTTCTTCGCCTTTTTTCTTTCATTCTTCCACGCACTTTTAAGCCGGTACTCATACATTCTCCGTAGGTGCGGTATGTTTTGGCATCCTGCCAAGCAGGTAAATTCTCCATTCTTTGATGGTATTTTTGCTACTGAGAAACGGTACTGCTACAGAAGAGCAGCTGAATTATTTCTGCACTCCTCTGCTCAGTGCGATTGGCGAGAACTGGTCCTCAATCCATCATTTGCGTCTCTCAAACATTTTTGTTTGATTTTTCAAGGATTTTCTCACTTTGATCCAAGTTTTAGTTCGGGGTTTTCCCAAATCTGCACTTTCAGTGTTTCATAAACTTTTCCATGGACTCTTTCCTCTTCTTTTCCTTTTTACATGAATTTTCAAAAATTTCATTCTTTTCTCGAGTTTGTTTATACTTCAAATTCTAAATTCAAAAAAACCCTCCAATTTCGCTTAGAAAACCTAATCTTTTCTTGTATTGACGCAGTTGCATAGTCGCGTACTGATGAAGCTTGGACTGATTGTTTTTGCGGAGAAATAGTGATTGGACTGAAGAGACGCAGGATGTGATGCAGTTCAACCCGACTCCACCTGCTCTGGGGCAATTTTAGAAAGAATTTTTATGGCCTGTGTGTGATCCGTAGAACTCATGGGGGCGTAATTACATTAAGAATATTAGTAAAATCAAATGTAGCCTAGGACGAGAACTGGTCCCTGTTCGACAATCTCAGATGATTGTATGAGCATTCTCAGATGACATGCTGTAGAATTGGAGTTATTAGCGGGATCTGCTCTCCGGTTGGTATTCTAAGCTTCCTTCCTTTAGAAAACATTAATACTGAGCATTATCTTATATTTAGTGCGTGGACGAGAACTGGTCCCCGGTCTATATCCTCACCTATTTGTTTTTAGCTTCATCACTGGTTAAGTTTTCGTGTAAGTAATGCGAGAGAAGATCAAATGTGTATAGAAAAACAGCTGCGCTGGCAACGAAATTCATTCTTTTGGAAAACTTACGTGAACCAGTTTTCCTTTAGCAAAATTCCAGTTTTCTGCAGCATTATCATGCAGCTCTATTGCTATAAAGTAATTTTTAATTATGCGTTGTCTCTTACTTCCTTAGAATATCTCTTACTTCCTCAGAATAATCTCCCATGTAAGTAATTACTTCCTGCTGAGTGATTAACGGAAATTATGCGGCGTAAAAGCAGAGATCACTTCTTGCAGCTGCTGGTTTATAGTCGAGCCTAGATGTTTATACTCCAAGTTTCGCAGAATTGCAGAAATTTGTAGACTCCTGAGCCTAGGGAACCTAACAAGTAGTCTGATCTCTAGCGCGGTGAGCTGAACTCAACACGAAAATCTAATCGAGCGCGTTACGCTCATCCTAGTGCGCCGCTTCCTGAGCGTCGTGATTTCTCATGCGCCGCCGCTGAATTGAGTACGCAACTGCACTAATATCTAATTGAATTCGTTTAGTATGTAGTCAAGTGAACTGAGAGATTGTCTGAAGCGATTTGTGAGCGGAGGCGGGAGCTCAGCTCATTTACAGCGCCAACCCACGTCTTCCTTCTAGACGTTGCACTTCCGACCCCTTTATAGCAATGGCAACATAGTTCAGAGGATAAAATGACGAAGACCTGCTATGGATTAGCCTTATCTCCCCAATACCCCCTCTTCTTGCGCTTATTTCCGAGATGAGCTGAGTGGCCAGCTCATCTGACGCTGCTTAGCTGACTAATAATATGTATATGTGTACTGCACGAGCGGGGGAACTTTTGCGAGGACGACGCAACAGACAACAAACTGCTCTCGTCCGCTAGTCAAAACAAATCATCTAATAACATTCAATAACATGGTTTCGCTTGCGTTTGGCGCTTTATTCGATGCTTCACACACTCTTCTGGCTCCGCCCACTTTTCCGTTCGTCTCTCTATGGGTTGTTCTGATGGTTAGCCGCATAATTTTTATTTATGTTCTCATGCTTCATGCTACTGAATTTATGGCACATTTTGCAGATTTTCCTTCTGCTAATTGTATTTTATTAGGTTTTGTTGGAATATTCGCGAAAATTCGCACAAAAACATGTAGAACTTGTTTAAAAATATTTAAATATT